TGTGTGTGTGTGTGTGTGTGTGTGTGTGTGTGTGTGTGTGTGTGTGTGTGTGTGTGTGTGTGTGTGTGTGTGTGTGTGTGTGTCAATGTCCCTGGGGTCCGAACAGAGCTTTTAAATATAAAGCTTCTGTTGCTTGGAATAATCTACAAAATCAAAAAATTCCATCTTTAAATGAGTTCAAGGTACTATTGTACTCATGATTGTGTTGTGTTTTGCTGTCGTAATGGAAATGTTGTATATTTTATGTTCTTTGTTGCTGCTCTCTTGGCCTGGTCACTCTTGTAAAAGAGATTTTAATCTCAACTAGATTTTTTTTAAATAGTTAAATAATGGATATGTATGTATGTAGGTGTTTTTTAAATATATATTGTAATAATAAAATATAAAATATGTATAAATAATTAATACATTATTAAAGTTTTTAAAGTTATATATATTTTATGTATTTTAATATTAATATATTAAATATTAATGTTCATAAAATATTTATTTGATAATGTTTTGGATGAAATATAAAATTGTAAATATTAAAACGTTTTAATGTTATAATATAAAATCTTTTTGAAATACACATTTTTTATATTTTTTAATATGTATAATGTATATGTGTATATATTGTGTGTATAATTAATATGAAATTTGAAATAAAAATTTAACTTGGTAATTAGATAGATAGATAGATAGATCTATAAAGTTTTATATCATTTTTTATACATTTTAATATATCAAAACATTAAATATTACTATTAAATTTGGAATTTAAAAAGGTTTTATTTATTAAATATTCAGTTGATCATTTCTGTTTTTGGATAAAATTGAAAAATGTAAATATAATAACAAATCATTTGTTTTATAATATACTATAAAGGTTTTACTTTTTAAAATGGTAAATATATATTAATCCTTCGTGAATCCTATTTTTGGATAATCCTGAGAAATAAATAGCTTACAAATGAAAGGTAGTCGATCTAATTTTATTCATTATAAATAATGTGAATTGATTTGAACAACAGACAAATCTCTAGAATGGACACATCATGTACCATTATACAAATGCGTGTGTTTTTGTTGTCTTTTTCACGTTTCAGGACACGGCCAGTGTGTTTCAGGTGAATGTGTGTGTCTTCCTGGCTGGACGGGTGAGACCTGTGACTGTCCCGTCTCCACCGAGAGCTGTGTGTCAGACGACGGCTTGATTTGCAGCGGCTGGGGAAAGTGTGTGTGTGGCAAGTGTGTGTGTGACGACAGCCGGCGATCTGGAGCCCTCTGTGAGAAATGCCCCATCTGCGACAGCTCCTGTCAATCACACTGGTAACCGCTCGCACTGATTGGTTAGAACAGCTGTCAATCACACACTTAAACACTCACTGAAGCTGCAAGGGAGTTTTTATACCTTTCTAAAGGGGCGTCACACTAGACTTTGCCTTCTATTCACTTTCATTCATGTGCAAAAAAAGCAGGAATGCATGTGCAAGAGTTTTGTCTTTTGCTGCATACAAAGTTCAACTCGGACCTGTGAATTTGTAAAGCGACCAATAGAGGATGTAACTCTTATTGAACAAACTTTAAAAGTGTTGCAGAAAAGTGGAGTAGATCAGATATATTTATTAAATTATTTTAATAGCATTAGTAATTTAATAAATTAATAATTAATAAAAAATATAATTATAATTAATTATATAAATATAATTCATTATTACATTCAGTAGTTTTAGTAATTTGTATAAATAAATTTAATAATAATTGTAATATTATTTATTAAAAACAGACATCCTGGGGAATGACATCATATCCTGTTGCCTATATTCTTTGTACAAAATCATTTTACAAATAAGTTTCATGTGACTGACACTTTAGGTTATGTTCTGAATGGAAAACAAGCATTCTGTATACTGCACAGTTTATACTATATATTATTTTTAAAAGAGTTGCATGTAAAATAGTGCACTATTCAACAATAAAGTAACACAATCACATCACATCACATTACAATGCATGTGTAATTCCAGTTCTGAAATGTTGCATACTTGCAAACTTCAAGCATTCAATTGAAGCATACAATCTTTTTTTTTTTTTTTTTAAGTATACAGTTATTTTGAATACTTGAAGTATACAAGCATATTGTTTAATGCATACTGCATAGTATATACTGTATACTAGTTTTAAGAGTTGTACTGTATGTGAAACAGTATTCAGCAATAAAGTAGTATGCTGCACAACCTCATCACATTGCATGTATAATTTCAGTTCTGAAGTAATTTTGCATACTTAAAGAATACAATCATACTGCGTACTGCACAGTATGTACTGTAACTGTTTTTATAAGTTATATGTGAAACATTATGCAGTATTCACCAATAAAGTAGCATGCTACACAACCTCATTATGTTGCATGAGTAATTTTAGTTCTGAAATAATTTTACATGCTTAAGTTTAGCATGATCACCTATTTAGACAATCTTCTGAATGGAATACAAGTGTACTGCACAGCATATACTAGTTGTATTGATTTTAATAATTTTGCATACTTAAAAGTTTAGTATAATCACCTATTAGGATATGTGTGGAATGAAGTACAAGAATACTGCATACTGCAAAGTATATACAGTGTAGTATTTCTAAAAATGCAAGTATTTTTTAAAATGCATGATAAATGTCTCAACTCTTTGTACTGCAACCAAATAATGAGTCAAGATATTGAGAGCATTTTCAGTTCATTCAGATCAAATCAAGCGCATTGCATTGTGGGATGCAGTGTGCTCCGGTTTTATGCCACACATTGGCAAATGAAGTAGAAATAGTACGAGTAGTATGCCATTCTGGACATTGTCTAAATTTAGAACATAACCGAGTGTCGGTCACATGAAAATAAGTATGAAATTATTTTGTACAAAGAATATGGGCGAATGGGAAATTATGTCATAAAAATCTTATTAAATGTATTTATGTAAATTCCTAGAATTATTTAAATAATTTAATTATATTTAAATCAGTGTTATTTTAGTATCATTGAGATACTATTATAGTTTTTGTTAATAATTTGAATCAGTTTTTATTTTAAAATTTTCCGTTTTCATTTTAATTTTAGTTTTAGTCATTTAGTTGTTTATTTTTGTCAGTTTTAATAGTTATATATATATATATATATATATATATGTGTGTGTGTGTGTGTGTGTGTTTATTTTAGTTTTAGTTATCTAAGTACATAAAGTTAATCTTAAGTTATAATGTATATAAATAAATTTTAAAATTTTAAATTTTATGTATAGTATTATGTAGTATTTATGTATATTTTATTTATTCATTTGTTTTTGTGGTGAATTGTAAACTATTTATTTATTTTTTAATTATGTATGTCTATATAGTTTTTATTCATTTTTATTTCAGTTTTAGTTTTCTTAGTACATCAGGTTAAACTAAATTAAAATGAGAAATGTTGCTTGGCAACTAGCTGAAATGGAACGGGTTTTTTTATTTTCAAGTAACGGAAATGTTTTTTAATGGTTTTCACTTTAGTTTTAGTTAACTATAATAACCTTGATTTATGTAATATTTATTAATTTAATAAATTAATGTTAAATAATTTAAAATATGAAATCATAATTTTTTTTTGCAACCACTTTTCTGCAGCACCTTCAAAGTTTGTAGTTTTGTACTAGGCGTTTACATCCTCTGTTGACCCCTTGTCGTTCGGTTTGCATTATAACGATCGTAATCATGTGATCTGTCAGGAGCTGTGTGAACTGTCACCTGTCTAACGGACTCGGATCAGACGCGTACCAGCTTTGTAATCGCAGCTGCGCAGCTTCATCGGTGGAGTATGTGGACGACATCACAGGTACATACAGCACCAAACATTAAACATGGTCCCAGGAATCAGTTTTTATTTTAATATTTTCCGTTTTCATTTTAATTTTAGTTTTAGTCATTTAGTTGTTTATTTTTGTCAGTTTTAATAGTTATATATATATATATATATATGTGTGTGTGTGTGTGTGTGTGTTTATTTTAGTTTTAGTTATCTAAGTACATAAAGTTAATCTTAAGTTATAATGTATATAAATAAATTTTAAAATCTATAATTTTATGTATAGTATTATGTAGTATTTATGTATATTTTATTTATTCATTTGTTTTTGTGGTGAATTGTAAACTATTTATTTATTTTTTAATTATGTATGTCTATATAGTTTTTATTCATTTTTATTTCAGTTTTAGTTTTCTTAGTACATCAGGTTAAACTAAATTAAAATGAGAAATATTGCTTGGCAACTAGCTGAAATGGAACGGGTTTTTTTATTTTCAAGTAACGGAAATGTTTTTGAATGGTTTTCACTTTAGTTTTAGTTAACTATAATAACCTTGATTTATGTAATATTTATTAATTTAATAAATTAATGTTAAATAATTTAAAATATGAAATCATAATTTTTTTTTGCAACCACTTTTCTGCAGCACCTTCAAAGTTTGTAGTTTTGTACTAGGCGTTTACATCCTCTGTTGACCCCTTGTCGTTCGGTTTGCATTATAACGATCGTAATCATGTGATCTGTCAGGAGCTGTGTGAACTGTCACCTGTCTAACGGACTCGGATCAGACGCGTACCAGCTTTGTAATCGCAGCTGCGCAGCTTCATCGGTGGAGTATGTGGACGACATCACAGGTACATACAGCACCAAACATTAAACATGGTCCCAGACAGAAACACTAAAGCCGTCCTGTGATCTCTGAGCCGTTCTAAATGGCCTGTTGTGCGTCTGAATGAACTGTGCTGTTGTTCAGAGCTGGTCCGGGGGAAATACTGCCTGTATCCCAGCAGTGAGAAGTGTCAGCACCGCTTTCTCATGGACTTGGCTTCAGAACGACCTCAGCTGCACATTAGTCGGCATCCTGGTGAGGAAATGAATTCTTCTCTTCATCTCCTCCTCTGCCTCATCCTCCTCCTCCGCTTTTTCTTTTTCGACCTGTGCTCCACAGTGCTGAAAAATGAGAAATTATATTTTTGCGTACAGAGAATGAAGCATATTTTAGGACTTCATTTTCAGCGCGTTTTCTCCACAAATTCTCATTACTGCAATATGTCCAGATGTTTTAGTTTTGAGTGTATTTGTAACTCTCAGTGCTGATTCTCATTAGATTTGTATTACTGTAATAGCTTTTTTTTTTTTGATCAAATAACTTATTTTAAAGGGATAGCTCATCCAAAAATTAAAATTTACTCTCAAAACCTGTATGAATTTTCTGGTCCCCACTGACCATGGAAGTCAATGACAAGACACTGTTTGGTTACTTTGCAACATTCTTCCAAATATCTTCTTTAGAGTAAAAGATGACAGAATTTTCATTTTTAAATTAAATTACATTTAAACCATTTAAACTGCATAAATTAAATGTAGTTCAACAAATGCTGCTGAATCATGAAGTATAAATACTTTACAGTTTTATGTTAATATATAAATATTTCACAAGCATTATTTTCCACATTACAGTAATGAGGTTTTTTTTGCATTGCATTGCAGTAATGCAATTTTGTTATGGAATAGTCCTTAATTGTAGTGAATTGTAAGCTATTTAAATAGGTTATATTATTTATTTGTGTTTATTTGATTTTGTGGTGAATTGTAAGCTATTTATTATTTGTATTTATTTATTCATTTTCTACTGTATTTTTATTTAGCTAGTTATTTTATATTTATTATTTAGTCATTATATCATTTATTATTTATTTATTTAGTTAGTTAGTTATATGAAATATGACCTTGATATTCTTGACAGGTTTCAGGAGATTCTGTGCTGATTTCTTCCCAGAAGGATGTTTTCGCTTTATGAATATATAAGTCTCAGATGTTCCTCCTTAAATTGCTTTGGAGGAATAAAAAGACATGTTCATAAACACAAGTCGGAAGCTGTGATACAATGGAGAGCAGCTCAGATCATATTCATATTAAGATCTTTGATTGCACACTTTGGTATCTTGGCAAATCTGAGAACAGTTTGAGACTTTATTGAATCTGTTTTCAAGATATCACATGTGCATTTCCTTTCCTGCGTTTAAAAACCCTAACCACTTTAAAAACCTTAAATGTGCTGGTTGGATTGTGTCAAGCGGATAAAGAGGTTCAGGGAAAGGGTTTGTTTTTGGACAAAAGAATCCAATAATTCATTCATAACCTAAACAGCAGCCAGATGTTTCTGTTATAACATCAGCAACAGCTGGAGAAGAAGCTCCCTCAGTCAATATACAGATCCAGCCTTCCTGTTCTCCGGCTGATCGCCGTAGGTTTGGCTCGGATCCAGTCCGGTCCGGTCACAAAGGACATGAAGTAGCATATTGACATTTTGCAGGTTTCCATGGCGATCTGGAAGCAGCACACACACACAAACACACACACACACACACACACACACACACACAATGGCTCATGCTGTTTCCATGAAGCAGTGAGGGGGCGAGTGGTGTGTCTCAAACGCCATTTGGATGAGTGGCTTTATAAGAGAATGTGCAGGGAACCAAAACAACCCGCGGAGCCGAAAACACTATTGAGATCTCTTTAATATCTCTGTTGCTTTGCCTTGACAGTAATGCGATTAAACGGAGAGACTACTGCTTTATTCAGCCTCGTTCACAGCAAAGATGAGAATTATAACCTTCTTTTGCTGCTTGTGTGGTGGTCAAAAACGACCAAATTTTACTTCAATGAAATAAATGCACCATATTTAAGTTGGATCATGTTTTTTATTTAATATTTTGTATTTTTAGGAGACTTTATGGTACTGAATTATATTTAGTCAGAAGTTATAATCCATTTAATACCTGAAGTTTCTATCTTGAATGCACAGATTTAAGTTTGGTCTCTTTTTGAAGAAGACACTTGGCTACTATTTTCAAGTTTTATATGAAATCTATATTTTTCAAAACATGTTTTATTCTAAACCTTGAAAAAACCAAAGCCATAAATCTAAACACGTCGTGTTCCACATTTGAGGTTGATATCACAGTATAAGAGATTTCAGTAAGAGTTTGTTTGGGTGTTGTACCAAACATTTCCACTACATGAAATTCATTTCCCTTTTTTTTTTTCTCAAAGTCTCAAACTGTTCTCAGATTTGCCAAGATGATTAATTTTCAACAGTTTTTAAGTTTCATATTTATATTTTATTTATATTCTATTTTATTTAGCGTTAATTTAGTTTTATTAATTTTACTACTTCAGTACTGCCACCAAAACATTTTTTCATTTCAATCACTGATTTTTTTTTTTTTTTAAGTTATAGTCATTGTGTGTTTTTGTCTTTTTTTTTAAATGTCCTTATAGTTTTTATAAAATTTTAGTTTTTTGTTTTAGTTTAGGTTTTATGATGTTGTTTGTCATTTTCATTTTTTTTTTTTTTTTTTTTTTTTTTTTTTTTGGTTTTTTTTTTCGATATCAATTACAATATTTATTTCATAGCATTAACGGGAAGGGAAAACATTCAACATGTTTGTTAGACCTCAAAAATGAATGTAAACATAATTTGTCAGCTACCTTTTAATTTAGGGCCCCATGAAATCTGTTTTATTTTTTCCCAAATTTGATTTATAAAATTTTTTTTTTTTTTTTTATTTTAGGTTTTTTGATTTTTTTTTTCATTTTCATTTTTTTTTTTTTTTTTTCTTTTTTCTTTTTTGGTATTTTTATTTTGCTTTCATTTATATTTTTGAGTTTTACTTTTATTAATTTTAGTACTTTAGTACTGCCAGCAAAACATTTTAATTTTTAATTAAGTTTTGTAAGATTAAGTAATTTAATATTCGTATTTTATTTTATTTTATTTCTATTTTGTTCTGTTCAACTTTAATTTAACTGTATTATTTTTAGTACTCTGGTACTGTACATAAATACATTTTAACAATAATAATAAACAATACATTTTAATTAAATTTCCAAAACATCTGATTTTCATTGAAGTTTTGTAAGCGTATGTTTAAGTTTTATTCGATTTAGTTTTAGTTATTTTAGTATTTCAACTTTAAATGAAAATGAGAAACGTTCCCTTGGCAACTACAGCTGAACTAAAATAAGTTGTTTTTATGGTTTTAATTTGAGCTAATGGTAATAACCCCAATATGAAGTCAAGCATTTCTCATGAAATAATCTGATCCGCTCCACATTCATTTATCTCACTGTATTCATTTCTTACTGTATGTCAGCTGTTGACTAAAGAAATTTACGAGAAACATCTGAGAAAAATGTGATCTTCCGATTGTCCAGAAAACTCTTTGAAGAGCAGCATCTGAGCACTAGTGTTTCCTGTGGGATCAGAGATGAGTGTCTTGTGAAGACGTTGGGCGTTTGTGTTGTTTATAGTCTGGTCTCTGTCGTGTAACAGTGTGTGTCTGGAGTCGGCGGTACTTTAAGACGTTCCTCAGCGCCTTCCTTCTGACCGTCACGCTGGGAATCGGCATGCTGGCCGCCGTCAGACAGCTGCTGAGAGCCAGAAACTGCTCGTGGCAGTCCAACCCTGAGCAACAGTTTGAGCGCAGCCCTAAGGTAATGCGTGTGAGAGCAGTAAAAAAACTACAACTGAATTCAAATTTAAAGAAATGCTCACCCCCCCCCCCCCCCCCCCCCCCCCACCCCCCCAAAAAAACATTTCCAAATTCATTATTTACTCCGCTTCATGTCATTCCAAGTCAATGTTATTTTAGTGTCAGAGAGAGTGTGTGTGTGCGAGTGAGTGTGTGTGGGTGAGAGAGAGTGTGAGTGTGTGTGAGAGAGAGAGAGAGAGAGAGAGAGAGAGAGAGAGAGAGAGAGAGAGAGAGAGAGAGAGAGAGAGAGAGAGAGAGAGAGAGAGAGAGAGAGAGAGAGAGAGAGAGAGAGAGAGAGAGAGAGAGAGAGAGAGAGAGAGAGAGAGAGAGAGAGAGAGAGAGAGAGAGAGAGAGAGAGAGAGAGAGAGAGAGAGAGAGAGAGAGAGAGAGAGAGAGAGAGAGAGAGAGAGAGAGAGAGAGAGAGAGAGAGAGAGAGAGAGAGAGAGAGAGAGAGAGAGAGAGAGAGAGAGAGAGAGAGAGAGAGAGAGAGAGAGAGAGAGAGAGAGAGAGAGAGAGAGAGAGAGAGAGAGAGAGAGAGAGAGAGAGAGAGAGAGAGAGAGAGAGAGAGAGAGAGAGAGAGAGAGAGAGAGAGAGAGAGAGAGAGAGAGAGAGAGAGAGAGAGAGAGAGAGAGAGAGAGAGAGAGAGAGAGAGAGAGAGAGAGAGAGAGAGAGAGAGAGAGAGAGAGAGAGAGAGAGAGAGAGAGAGAGAGAGAGAGAGAGAGAGAGAGAGAGAGAGAGAGAGAGAGAGAGAGAGAGAGAGAGAGAGAGAGAGAGAGAGAGAGAGAGAGAGAGAGAGAGAGAGAGAGAGAGAGAGAGAGAGAGAGAGAGAGAGAGAGAGAGAGAGAGAGAGAGAGAGAGAGAGAGAGAGAGAGAGAGAGAGAGAGAGAGAGAGAGAGAGAGAGAGAGAGAGAGAGAGAGAGAGAGAGAGAGAGAGAGAGAGAGAGAGAGAGAGAGAGAGAGAGAGAGAGAGAGAGAGAGAGAGAGAGAGAGAGAGAGAGAGAGAGAGAGAGAGAGAGAGAGAGAGAGAGAGAGAGAGAGAGAGAGAGAGAGAGAGAGAGAGAGAGAGAGAGAGAGAGAGAGAGAGAGAGAGAGAGAGAGAGAGAGAGAGAGAGAGAGAGAGAGAGAGAGAGAGAGAGAGAGAGAGAGAGAGAGAGAGAGAGAGAGAGAGAGAGAGAGAGAGAGAGAGAGAGAGAGAGAGAGAGAGAGAGAGAGAGAGAGAGAGAGAGAGAGAGAGAGAGAGAGAGAGAGAGAGAGAGAGAGAGAGAGAGAGAGAGAGAGAGAGAGAGAGAGAGAGAGAGAGAGAGAGAGAGAGAGAGAGAGAGAGAGAGAGAGAGAGAGAGAGAGAGAGAGAGAGAGAGAGAGAGAGAGAGAGAGAGAGAGAGAGAGAGAGAGAGAGAGAGAGAGAGAGAGAGAGAGAGAGAGAGAGAGAGAGAGAGAGAGAGAGAGAGAGAGAGAGAGAGAGAGAGAGAGAGAGAGAGAGAGAGAGAGAGAGAGAGAGAGAGAGAGAGAGAGAGAGAGAGAGAGAGAGAGAGAGAGAGAGAGAGAGAGAGAGAGAGAGAGAGAGAGAGAGAGAGAGAGAGAGAGAGAGAGAGAGAGAGAGAGAGAGAGAGAGAGAGAGAGAGAGAGAGAGAGAGAGAGAGAGAGAGAGAGAGAGAGAGAGAGAGAGAGAGAGAGAGAGAGAGAGAGAGAGAGAGAGAGAGAGAGAGAGAGAGAGAGAGAGAGAGAGAGAGAGAGAGAGAGAGAGAGAGAGAGAGAGAGAGAGAGAGAGAGAGAGAGAGAGAGAGAGAGAGAGAGAGAGAGAGAGAGAGAGAGAGAGAGAGAGAGAGAGAGAGAGAGAGAGAGAGAGAGAGAGAGAGAGAGAGAGAGAGAGAGAGAGAGAGAGAGAGAGAGAGAGAGAGAGAGAGAGAGAGAGAGAGAGAGAGAGAGAGAGAGAGAGAGAGAGAGAGAGAGAGAGAGAGAGAGAGAGAGAGAGAGAGAGAGAGAGAGAGAGAGAGAGAGAGAGAGAGAGAGAGAGAGAGAGAGAGAGAGAGAGAGAGAGAGAGAGAGAGAGAGAGAGAGAGAGAGAGAGAGAGAGAGAGAGAGAGAGAGAGAGAGAGAGAGAGAGAGAGAGAGAGAGAGAGAGAGAGAGAGAGAGAGAGAGAGAGAGAGAGAGAGAGAGAGAGAGAGAGAGAGAGAGAGAGAGAGAGAGAGAGAGAGAGAGAGAGAGAGAGAGAGAGAGAGAGAGAGAGAGAGAGAGAGAGAGAGAGAGAGAGAGAGAGAGAGAGAGAGAGAGAGAGAGAGAGAGAGAGAGAGAGAGAGAGAGAGAGAGAGAGAGAGAGAGAGAGAGAGAGAGAGAGAGAGAGAGAGAGAGAGAGAGAGAGAGAGAGAGAGAGAGAGAGAGAGAGAGAGAGAGAGAGAGAGAGAGAGAGAGAGAGAGAGAGAGAGAGAGAGAGAGAGAGAGAGAGAGAGAGAGAGAGAGAGAGAGAGAGAGAGAGAGAGAGAGAGAGAGAGAGAGAGAGAGAGAGAGAGAGAGAGAGAGAGAGAGAGAGAGAGAGAGAGAGAGAGAGAGAGAGAGAGAGAGAGAGAGAGAGAGAGAGAGAGAGAGAGAGAGAGAGAGAGAGAGAGAGAGAGAGAGAGAGAGAGAGAGAGAGAGAGAGAGAGAGAGAGAGAGAGAGAGAGAGAGAGAGAGAGAGAGAGAGAGAGAGAGAGAGAGAGAGAGAGAGAGAGAGAGAGAGAGAGAGAGAGAGAGAGAGAGAGAGAGAGAGAGAGAGAGAGAGAGAGAGAGAGAGAGAGAGAGAGAGAGAGAGAGAGAGAGAGAGAGAGAGAGAGAGAGAGAGAGAGAGAGAGAGAGAGAGAGAGAGAGAGAGAGAGAGAGAGAGAGAGAGAGAGAGAGAGAGAGAGAGAGAGAGAGAGAGAGAGAGAGAGAGAGAGAGAGAGAGAGAGAGAGAGAGAGAGAGAGAGAGAGAGAGAGAGAGAGAGAGAGAGAGAGAGAGAGAGAGAGAGAGAGAGAGAGAGAGAGAGAGAGAGAGAGAGAGAGAGAGAGAGAGAGAGAGAGAGAGAGAGAGAGAGAGAGAGAGAGAGAGAGAGAGAGAGAGAGAGAGAGAGAGAGAGAGAGAGAGAGAGAGAGAGAGAGAGAGAGAGAGAGAGAGAGAGAGAGAGAGAGAGAGAGAGAGAGAGAGAGAGAGAGAGAGAGAGAGAGAGAGAGAGAGAGAGAGAGAGAGAGAGAGAGAGAGAGAGAGAGAGAGAGAGAGAGAGAGAGAGAGAGAGAGAGAGAGAGAGAGAGAGAGAGAGAGAGAGAGAGAGAGAGAGAGAGAGAGAGAGAGAGAGAGAGAGAGAGAGAGAGAGAGAGAGAGAGAGAGAGAGAGAGAGAGAGAGAGAGAGAGAGAGAGAGAGAGAGAGAGAGAGAGAGAGAGAGAGAGAGAGAGAGAGAGAGAGAGAGAGAGAGAGAGAGAGAGAGAGAGAGAGAGAGAGAGAGAGAGAGAGAGAGAGAGAGAGAGAGAGAGAGAGAGAGAGAGAGAGAGAGAGAGAGAGAGAGAGAGAGAGAGAGAGAGAGAGAGAGAGAGAGAGAGAGAGAGAGAGAGAGAGAGAGAGAGAGAGAGAGAGAGAGAGAGAGAGAGAGAGAGAGAGAGAGAGAGAGAGAGAGAGAGAGAGAGAGAGAGAGAGAGAGAGAGAGAGAGAGAGAGAGAGAGAGAGAGAGAGAGAGAGAGAGAGAGAGAGAGAGAGAGAGAGAGAGAGAGAGAGAGAGAGAGAGAGAGAGAGAGAGAGAGAGAGAGAGAGAGAGAGAGAGAGAGAGAGAGAGAGAGAGAGAGAGAGAGAGAGAGAGAGAGAGAGAGAGAGAGAGAGAGAGAGAGAGAGAGAGAGAGAGAGAGAGAGAGAGAGAGAGAGAGAGAGAGAGAGAGAGAGAGAGAGAGAGAGAGAGAGAGAGAGAGAGAGAGAGAGAGAGAGAGAGAGAGAGAGAGAGAGAGAGAGAGAGAGAGAGAGAGAGAGAGAGAGAGAGAGAGAGAGAGAGAGAGAGAGAGAGAGAGAGAGAGAGAGAGAGAGAGAGAGAGAGAGAGAGAGAGAGAGAGAGAGAGAGAGAGAGAGAGAGAGAGAGAGAGAGAGAGAGAGAGAGAGAGAGAGAGAGAGAGAGAGAGAGAGAGAGAGAGAGAGAGAGAGAGAGAGAGAGAGAGAGAGAGAGAGAGAGAGAGAGAGAGAGAGAGAGAGAGAGAGAGAGAGAGAGAGAGAGAGAGAGAGAGAGAGAGAGAGAGAGAGAGAGAGAGAGAGAGAGAGAGAGAGAGAGAGAGAGAGAGAGAGAGAGAGAGAGAGAGAGAGAGAGAGAGAGAGAGAGAGAGAGAGAGAGAGAGAGAGAGAGAGAGAGAGAGAGAGAGAGAGAGAGAGAGAGAGAGAGAGAGAGAGAGAGAGAGAGAGAGAGAGAGAGAGAGAGAGAGAGAGAGAGAGAGAGAGAGAGAGAGAGAGAGAGAGAGAGAGAGAGAGAGAGAGAGAGAGAGAGAGAGAGAGAGAGAGAGAGAGAGAGAGAGAGAGAGAGAGAGAGAGAGAGAGAGAGAGAGAGAGAGAGAGAGAGAGAGAGAGAGAGAGAGAGAGAGAGAGAGAGAGAGAGAGAGAGAGAGAGAGAGAGAGAGAGAGAGAGAGAGAGAGAGAGAGAGAGAGAGAGAGAGAGAGAGAGAGAGAGAGAGAGAGAGAGAGAGAGAGAGAGAGAGAGAGAGAGAGAGAGAGAGAGAGAGAGAGAGAGAGAGAGAGAGAGAGAGAGAGAGAGAGAGAGAGAGAGAGAGAGAGAGAGAGAGAGAGAGAGAGAGAGAGAGAGAGAGAGAGAGAGAGAGAGAGAGAGAGAGAGAGAGAGAGAGAGAGAGAGAGAGAGAGAGAGAGAGAGAGAGAGTGTGTGTGTGAGAGTGATTGTGTGAGAGAGTGAGAGTGAGAGTGAGTGAGTGTGTGTGTGTGTGTTTGTGTGTGTATGCTTTATTTTTATTTCAGTTTTTGTATTTCTTTTATTTCAAATTTTCAGTTAAGTTTTGTGTGTTTACATTGCTCTAATTTATTTTATTTATGTTCTATTCTATTTAGCTTTATTTTTATTTCAGTTTGTTTTATTAATTTCGTAAAATTTAGTACTGCCCACAAAACATTTCTATTTTTCAATTACAATTTGTAAGTTTAAGTCTTTATGTAATATTTATGTTGTTATTTCTGTTCTATTTATTTAGCTTTAATTTATTTATATTTCAGTTTTAGTTTTATAAATTTTAGTTCTTTAGTTCTTAGGCTTTTCATATAATATTTGTATTTTATTTTATTTCACAAAATTCATATTAATAGTTTTAGTATTCGTTTTATTTAACAACAACAGCACTGATCTGTATGTTTTGTTTTTCTTCTGTGGAGCACAAAAGGAGATTTATTTATGTTTTGAAAGAAGTCTCTTCTGCTCGCAGAGGCTGCATTTATTTGATTAGAAATACAGTAAAAACAGTAAAATTGTGAAATATTATTACAATTTAGAATAGCTGTTTTCTATGTGAATATCTGTTAAAATGTAATTTATTTCTGTGATGCGCAGCTGAATTTTTAGCATCATTACTCCAGTCTTCAGTGTCACATGATCTTCAGAAATCATTCTAAAATGCTGATTTTTGAACATTTCTGATTATTATCAATGTTAAAAACAGTTGTGCTGCTGAATATTATTGTGGAAACATTATACATTTTATTTTTCAGGATTCACAGTTGAATAGAAAGTTCAAAAGAGCAGCATTTATTAGAAATAGAAATCTTTGTAACATTATAAATGTCTTCACTGTCACTTTTGATCAATTGAATACAACCTTGCTGAATAAAAAATGTATTTCTCTTTCTTTCTGATTGCAGGACTCGTCATACATCCCCACGACCAACGAGAAGACGATCCCGTACAGGAGCGACGGTCTCCCGAATCAGCCGGTGGAGATGCACTCACACATGCCCAAGATGCCCCTGAGCCACGCCTGGCAGTGATGAGGGTCAAAGGTCGCTCTAGAAACGAAGCACTACCTGAATGAAAGCAATCTTTCTCTTTAAGCACTTACTTCACAAGAGCAATAGCCTGTGTGGGTTTTCTGAGGCTGTTTTTCATTCCTTTTCATTCTGTTTCTAATTTATGATGTTGAATGGCATTCAATCTGGTCCTGAAGCCACACAGAAAGAGACGGTGCGGTTAAACCCGTACTGATGTGGTTTAGCAGGCCAGTTTTCTGCTGAGGTACTGTTTGTCTGTGTCTGTGAGCGGATGTTAGAGTGTGTTTGTGATATTTTTACTTGTCGTACAAAACACTACAGACTCTGGCTATGTTCAGAATAGCATACTGTGCATACTATTTCTTCAGTATACATGCAAAAAATACACCGATGACGGCAAAGAGCACTGTCCCACAATGCAATGGGCTTGATGCTTCCAGTACAATGATGCAACATTTGGAATTAATAATTGTATTATCAATTATTTATATTATCAATAATTAAATCCAATTATTGGGCCACAAAAGATTTAGAATTTTTTTTTCCCATTTTATTTAAATTTTGTTATTATTTCCATTTTATTTATATATATATATTTAATATTTATTTATTATATATATATATATATATATATATATATATAATTAAATTGGGCCACAAAAGATTTAGAATTTTTTTTTCCCATTTTATTTAAATTTTGTTATTATTTCCATTTTATTTTTTTATTTAT